GCTGAAGTTGTCGTTGTTATTGTAGTTGTAATGCATAAACGATGGTAAGAGCGAGGTGGTATTTCATGGTAAAATACCATTTAATGGTTTTCAGTTTATAGAGTAAAAACAATAACAAGTAAGGACTTTGTTATTGCCATAGTTCAGGTACATCGAGAAGTTCATATTACAATTATTCTTATTGGTGATGGTGTCACGAGAACATATCTTAAGAGGTTTTACATACATATATGATGAATGAATGTTATAAAGGTTTATTGTTTTTAATTACTTGATGTAATTTACTTAATGTAATGAAGGAAGAAAGGAGTGATACGTATGTCGTTTTCTTATAAACATTTAAAGTTGATTTAAGTAGGAAAAAGAATATCTGAAAAATGGGTCTATACCGAGAGGTATGCCTATATTAATTAAGCAGAAATATTAATTTTGAAGTAAATTTGGATGAAAAGTGTGGCAAAATCGAGGTCATGGTCTAGAGGTGGAAAAAGGCCTATTGGGGATGAAAGACCTTGGCGAGTATACCAGAAGGAAACAATCGCCATGATAATTTTTTCCAGACGACCCTATTTTATGTAAAGAGATAGAATCATATCTTAATTTCTAGCTAATGTATTTTTGAGATTACATTTCCTCAGAAAAATCGAATGAGGAAATTTTTTGTAGAATATTTTGTCTTTTTAACTCCTTTTCGTCCTTAGTTTATTGAACCTGACTTCAATTAACACAAGATGTGATTTTTCATCCTCGCATGGAAATCGGATTCGTCGAATTATTTACTAAAAAAATATACGTGAAAAAAACCAGTGAGCGGAACGGTATAACCGGGCGGAGCAGTATAACCGATCTTATGATACCCTACACAAATACCACGGAACTCACACTTTCTGCGGTTCTATATTTTGAGCCTGGGCAATATTTCGCTATATTTGCACTCTCTTGACCGATTATAGGTAAACAGCTCCACTTTCTAACCCTGGAATATTTTTTAAATCGCGAGGTGAATATTTACGTCATAAAATAAAAATTTGGCCGTTTTAAATATTTGGTCAGATCCTCTTTACCGTGTAAAATATGTTATGTTCTTCATATAATAATGGCCTCTAGAGCGTCTAGAAAATCTGACAAAAATAAAGTTTTCGGTTCATTACACCCTCTAAATATCATCTCTACATCACGGAAAATGTCAAAGTGATCACCGCGAAATTTCCGCCCTTTAGTGAGGTAATAGTAATACTAAACAATATCATAACACAAAGGCACATTTAAATATTTATGTATAAGTCCCACATACATCCATACAGCATCATAATTGACTTATTCATTGGCCCGATTCCCTTCTTGGTGTACAATTTCTTGGTGTTTGGGGCATAGTTGTAGCCTCTAGAACGACCAGAAAAACACACAAAAACCAGTAAGGTAAGTTCAAAACTCGGACGGGGCCGACTATATGATACCCTTCACCACTTTGGGTACGTACAAGAGTGCAGACAGACACCGTCTACGCGACAGACACTCATTTGGCCTTCGGCCGGGGATTTAAGACTTTCTCCTATGAACAGATACCAACACCGTGTACGCGACAGAATCTCCTCTTAAGGGGACCCCCCACATTCTTGGGGTCAAAAATTTTTATGATTTAATTCGAATCTACACTAATTCAAGAATGTCCCTACAAAATTTCAATTGAAAATCTCATGAACTCTTGAAGATATAGCCGATTTATTGTGACAGGATCAAGTGACGACTAAAGGGCTTCTCAAACTTTAAACGCGTTTTTCTCATTTGTGAATGGGGGGCACGATAACTCAAAAACTAATAACCCAATCGATTCCAATTTTTTACAGGTTTCTCTGTGAGTGTATAGCTATTGTATGAACTAGGACAAAGCCAATCGGTGAAGATCTTCCTTATTTTTAGCTTGTTTTTGGTTAAAAATCGGCGATTTTCCAAAAATATTTTTTCAAAGGTCCGCCATTTTGTTAATTTTAGAGCGAGATCAATAATCCTAGTTCATACGAGAGCCAGACATGTACTCTTTCTAACACCGTTGGAATTTTCGGATTCCGATGTTCCATGACCGATGTTATCATGACCGTCATCAAAAATGAGGACTTTTCTTTAATTATAAAAAACAACAACAAAGCAATAACAAAATTTGTTTGTACATTATTTTTCTTATCTTTTAAATCTTCAAATATATATGTGCAAAGTTACAAACCTTAACAAGCATTGGTATTGATATACCAGCCCATTGAAAATCTTGAATAATTAAAATCGAGAATGGGAGGGGTTCCCTTAAATAATAGTTTTGTGGGAGGCTGGACTTCGGCCGGGTATTTAAGACTTACTTCTATGGACAGATACCAACACCGGCTATGCGGCAGAATTTCCTTGTTATTGTGAAGGGCAACTTTTCGTCGCTCGTTTGAGACACGATTGGAGAGGGTCCATTATGGACCCAAGTTCGACATTTAAGGAGTTATTCAAAAAATCGAGGCTCAAAACCCAGTTTTTTGACTGTATCTTCAATGGAAAGGTATTTTTAAGCTTTAAAATGATACCCATTTTTTAAACGGATCCGTAGAACCGGGAATAACCGGGTACGGGTACCCGAACTTCCGGGTCAAATAACCGGGTAACCGCGTACGTCCCCCAAGAAAAAAGATATCCCCATGATTAGGGTAAAAATACCTACCACTAGAAGAAAATTCAGAAAAATCTGATCGTTTTTACTAGAGTTAAGCATGGAAAGCATATCTAGACCTGAATCGACTTCAATTTTATGTAAAGGCTCCTTCATTTGCACCATTTGCATAAGATCGGACTAAAATATATCTATATCTACATCTGAACCGATTATAACAGCAAATTATAAATTTCATGAATATAGAAAATAGCCTCCTCGGTGCACCGTTTACATAAAATCGAACGAAAATATATATGGGATCTGTATCTAAATCTGAACCTATTTCAACAAAACTTCACGAATATCAACCTGTAGTATCATCAATACCCAATCAGACAAACATTGGTAGTGTGGTGTCCCATTTTCATAAAATCGGTCGAAGTTACATGTGGGAGCTATATCTAAACCTGAATCGAAACCTACGTACTGGACTTAATACTGTGCAAAATTTTGTCTCAATCGGACAAATATTGGCAGTATGGTGTTCTATTTACATAAAATCGGACGAAACTATATATGGAACTTATATCTAAATCTGAACCTATTCCAACAATAATTCGCATAAATCCATCTGTAACTAATTAATAACGAATTGCAAAAGTTTGTCTCAATCGGGCCAGTATTGGATGAAACTATATATGGCCGATATATCTAAATCTGAACCGATTTTCTTCAAGTTCAATAGGGTTCATCTTTGGGTCAAATAAGTGACCTGTGCTAAATTTCATCCAAATCGGATCATAAATGCGACCTGCACTTTGTTCACAAAAATACATGGACGGGCATGCATAAATCGATTCATATTCTCAAAATGACCCATATATCTATCTCGATTCCTTTTGCCTGTTACAAACATATGCACAAAGACATAATACCCTGTACCACAGTGTGGCGAAGGCCATAATAAAGTTTTTGGTCCACCTCACCCCCAAAATAATAACAGACCATTACCCAAAACAATCGGGGTCTTCCTTAGCCAGAACCCATCCTAAATGCAACATATAAATTTTTATTGATGTGTGTGTTTTTCCATTGGATACAGAGAGAAACAGTATTCAAGGCTGTTTTTTTTTTAATTTTATAATGCACGTTTACGGTATACAGCTTTGGGTTATGTTAAGGTATCTACTCCTTCCCATTCATGTACATTTTTGATGTGTGTGCGTGTGGTTGGGCGTTGTCACTGTTGACTAAATCACCAAACTCCAAGTACTTCATTGTGCAGAATTTGATGGCGGTAGGAGAGATGTCTTCTGCCACTTCACTGAGAGGAGTGTGGTTCCTTTGGTAAAGTTCAAGCTTATCCAAACTTAGTAGGTTTGATATAACCTCCACATAAAGGTTCGATATAATCAAGGTTTTAATCTAATTTTCTCATCGAAGGGGCTATAATTTAGGATTCTTAGTGAATAAATAACTTATTTTCTATCCCCCTTTTAATTATAAGTTTTTCAACATCAGTGCCTGTAATTTAGATGAAATGGAACAACAAAGTCCGATATAAAGGTCCTGACGTATTTAAAGAATTTTTAATGCACAAACCACTTGGTAGATGTTATAAAAACTATTTTTTACTTGTTATTTTTTTTTTTTTGCTGACTTGCTATACCGATAAAAAATTCTAAGGAAAACTAAGTACCTTACTAGTACTTACACCTTCCCAATATTCATACAAAATCAGTTTATCTACCTTGTTATTGAATCATCACTTTTCAATGTCACCTTACTAGCTTAGTTAACACCTAGCTACTATCACTTTAGCTACAATCCTTAAGTATGTAAGTAACAAGCTCTATCTTTCCACATTTTTTTCGTATAATGATTTATCAGACCTTGTTTACGATAAGTGATTAAATTGTGAAAAATGTGACATTGAATGTGTACCAAATTTAATTATGTCGCACCATAAACCCTTTTTTCCGACATTTGCTCGCTCTGGCCCTCTTGGGCAAATGCGAACGACGACGACGAGAATGAATGACATTGCAATGTAACACAAACGATAACATTATTCATGTCAAGCAGATTATAGTTGAAAGGAGGCGAGGAGAGAGAGAGAGCGTGAAAACCCAGATGCGTGTTTTTATGCAGAACGTAGAAGAGTAAGAAATATTCATTTTACTATATTGTATAAGGAAATGTGTTACTTATAAAAGGTACTGCAATATAATAAAAATTACATTGTGACATAGTGGTTGTAATTCAATAAAAACATACCACATAAACAGTAACAAATTCAATTAAATTTCAAGGTGCCTCAGACTTCATAGGCAATGTCAAGAGACTAAGTTGCATATGAACTTTCACTTACCTTGTTTGTAAGTCGAGAAGGCCAAATATTCCAAAATATCAGCTTTGGAGAAAGCCAATGAACGGTTACGTGGCTCATATGACATACGGGTCATGGCCTCATTCATCCACAAGACAGTATGATAATAATCATGATTCACATATGACTGGCGACCCAATTCGAAACAATCGTCGGAGGACATTTCAGTACTAAAATAAAAGAAAATAAAATCACACATTTAATATAAATTAAATTATTTAAATAATCTTCATTTCTTACCTATATTGCACTCCATTCAATTCACCCCGAGCCAAACTTGATGTATCCAAATTATAGGTGTCTTGCAGACGCATTAATGCCACAGCAGCTCCATTTAAATCTTCTTCTGAGGGGAATTTCAGAATGCTGCGATAATTGGATATGTTACTAAGGAATTCTGCACCCACATCATGGGCCATTAAGTTTTCTACTTGTTTCCAATCGGTCGTTAGACGTTTTGTTAATAAATATGCATTGATAGGATTCGATACATATGCCGAAACATCCATGGCAGCCTCGGCATGTTCTCTTTGGTATTCTTGCATCTTTCTGTAAATGAGAAAGAGAGAGATTATAATTAAATTTTCTGGACATTTTTATAAACATGCAAACAAAACAAACACCAACATTTTATAAAGAAAGACTTTTATTAAAATTAAAACAATAAAAACATCGCTAAGTATGACCAGGTCGAAATTTTTTTACACTCCAGCAAGTGAAATGTTTTCAAAAAATCCGTAAATCGGTATTTGTAAATTGCCTGCTAGCCACTTGACTATACTCTGAAAAATTATTGACACATGAAATGAAAACTAAGAACTGTAATATGCAGGAAGACGTTTTTAAACCACCAGGAACCATGAAATTAAAAAGGTTTAATTGGATCTATATCAACAAATTTCTACCAAAGCGGAATGACAAAGTCTTCAAAATATCGAATATGAGCCTAATTTAAGAACTGTCTGCAAATATGTTTATCACACTCTAAAACCCGACTTGCGAAATTACACCCACTCCGGTGGAAAAGTGCGGCGAAAACCTTGAAATTATCCACTGTATTGGGGGTTTTTGTATGGGCGCTATGTCAGAACATATCAAAAATTATCTGCAATTATTTTTTTATCCTCCATATAACCGGAAATGGGGCGGTATGTTTATAGCTTTGTCTAAACAATTATCTATATCTGAAATTGTATGCAAAAATGTTCATCCAAAAGCCCCAAATACCAAATTTCACCCTCTTCGAAAAAAACTTCAAAATGCCGAAAATGGTATATTAGGGTACCGCTATTACTGCTGGTGAACTCCAATACCAAACACCGTAAGTGCAATGGAAATATCTGCGCAAAATTGCAAAGCCATAACCTAAATATTGCGAACTCTATCACGAGTTCAACAGATAGACAAACGTGTATGGGTTACTAGACATAGAGAATTATGAACAAAAAAATGTATACTTTATGGGGTCCTCGATGAATATATAGAGGTGCTGCAAACGTAATAACACATTTTACATGCACTGTAATTCAGGGTAGAGGACGACCATTGTTCGAAATGAGATTTCAAAACAGCTAATGCAAGTGACATACAGCGAGATAGAAGTTTCATAGGACATTTCTGTCACTTGTATTGAAATTTTGAAAAAAATAGCATCGTGGTGCTTAAAAATAGATTTCATAAAATAAACATTTCATTAATATCACAACTATTTCCTACTTCCTCTACCTTAACAATATTTGTGCTCTATCTCTCTCTTTGTTTTGGTATAGTTCTCCGCCTCTTCTCTTACTCGGTGATTGTTTTTTACTACCCTTTATTTGACTTTCTACTATCTCGATTGTGAACACTTTTGCATTTCATTGTTTCTTTATTTCAGACGCTCATACTGACCTCTGCATTGGTGTTACAAAATTCGCATATGTATTTTCCAAATTATTTCGATATAAATACTAAATACAATACATCAAAAATAAGTGCTGATACGAAAAAAGAAAGTCTCTGTGTGAAAAAGTCAGCGAAAAAGTCAGAAGTTTTTCAGTAAGACGAAGAATCTGTGGAAAACATAAAGCCGACGACTCTGTGGGGAACAGTGAGTTGAATCGTATTGTTAGTACAGTAGGACAATGTCTCTTTATACGACAGTATGCCGAACAATCTGGGTGGAACAATAAACCGAAGTCTCAGTGTGGATGAGTAATTCGAAGCCTCTGTTAGCAAAGACTTTGTATTGCGTATCATGACAATGAGAGCTCTAACATATCGGCTTAAAACCATAGACTATTTGACCGAGTCAAATGTGAAATTACTTATTTGTATTCCCGCACATCAAAAATAATGTGCGGCTATAAACTTCAAAATACCTGAAACGGGGCGTACCCAGTATATGAAACCATGTCCAATTAGAATGGACATAGGTCTGATCAAAACATCCTCCAAACATTTCTGAAACGCACTTTTCGATATATCCAATAGCTCATGTTTCGACATTTCTTCTATCTTTGGTGTATTCAGTTTGGGGAAGAGGAAAAGGAAGTGGAAATATAGAAATATATTGTCCATAATAGGATTATAAATCTGCAGATAGTTAGAGTTCTGTCCTAAAGATGTATAGTTCGCGAACGAACTAGTTCAGATGAACGATTCAGTTGAAAGAGCAAATAAACTAGTTCAGTCAAAGTCGTTCTTAAAAGATCGTTTGTTATGTTTCAGCTACCCGAACTATTACATAGTTTGTTCAATCACAACGTTTGTATTGACCTAAACTTAGTTCACTCATGAGAGCTGAACAAAAAAGAGCGACCTTCTTAATGACCTGGAAAGTACAAATTTCGCTGATTTTATATGAATTGCTGCAAAAAGATAAAATAACATTTTGGAATGCGTAATTTTGGGGCAAATTTGGCTATATGATAATAAACCACGTATTTATGAAGAAAATTGTAAGACTATCTAGAAAAGTCGACTTTTAGACTTTTCATTACAAAAAGTCCATTGATCGATTAGTCGAAAGTCAATTTACTTATCCCTATTCTGAGCGATGTCCAGTCGAAGTTGTTTTCATTAAATTGAATGCCAAAATTTAATTTTTCATTCAAATTTGAACTACATGGTTCATTTTCGGAACGATCGGTATCAGATATTACTAGATCAGATATTATCTTCATATAGTTCATTTTGCTCCAATCGTTGCTATTTTTCTCGTCCATAAAGTTTATTTTATTTTCATCTAGACCTTCCTGTGAACCAACAATGTTGGATGAGTCGATTTGGTTTTGATGCAAATTTCCTATTTTCGCAATGCTGTATTATAACTTATGGGACTATCTTAGACTCCTATTGTTAATCAAAAACTTTTTCTTCAAATAATATCGCGGAAGATTAAACTTGTGTTAAAAATACAAAAATAAACAAATTCATATTAAAAAATATTTATTGTGCTTATACATAATGTTCATTCTTAACATAATATTATCTTATAACAATACTTATATAAAAACTTCAATTACTTATATTATTTTTAAATATTCTTCCTTAAAATAATTTTCATAATACTACAACCCTTGATATCTCAGTTTCAATGAGAAAAAATATACAACAATTATATGCTAAATTTTAATTTTAATATAACATTCCTAATTTAATAAATATAATATTTTTATATATAAAGTATATTTTTATATTTTGGTATACTACATTATTTACAGCCTCTAGTAAATGGAATCGTTTGGAGTGGCGAACATTAACTATAGTTTATCTAAAAAAAAACATTTGAATTTTTTGGTATTTTAGCCGTTTTGTGTGTGTATGCATGTGTTTGGAATAAATATGTGAAATGGAAAAAAATGAAAAAAATTAAATATAATTACAACAAAAAATAAAAATTAATTTACATAAATATTATTTATAAAAAATTATTTTCTTAAACAACATTAACTCGATTATCTGGTGGTGGACGATAACACCACAGTGTACCAATCACACCCAAACCTATAAAAAACATAGTAAATGTGGATAGACCCAAAATAATACCGGTGGTAACATCATGTAGAGGTAATCCGGGAAATGGGTCCAATACCAGTATTACCAAAAGGCAACAACATTTTAGTAGACAAAATACTGTTACCAAAATATAGCCCGAAGTATAACTGCGATTGGGGAGCCATTCACAGTGCCTTGAACGAAAGCCAAGGAATCCCAATCCGACACCGCTGATGGCAGCCACCAAACTGAATTGTAGGTAAAATGAACGACCCAACTGTAAGGAGAAGAGAAAAAATTTAATAACGAGTCCAATTTTTGAAGAATTTTTTTTCAAACTTACATGGGCTATCATATAGACAATCAGGGCCGAATTCATGGAACTACCCAGAACCAACATCAGCGAAACGATGGCCAAGGTAATGGTGGCACTAACAATTTTTTGGGGGTATGATTGATTGTTGCCCGCCTTACCTTGAATACTGCTACAATCCTCCTCCTCAATTTGAGGATATGTGGTCCCAGCCACTCGTGGTTGTATTACGGCCATGGTGCGATCATTCTGATGGGGTGGTGTAACCACAGGCTTGACCGTTTCATAATGCAATCGCTGTGGTGAAAGATGGGAATTTTTACGTGGCAATAACGGAGGTCCCTGATTCTGAGAAGATTGTCCTCCGGATGATGAGAAATTTATCTGTTGTCCCTGTTGGGCATATTGTATCCTTAGCTCGCGTTGTGAGGCATACATATTACGCGGTGTATTTGATCGGCTATTTTGCACAGGAGTTTTCCTTGGCGTCGAAAGCAATTCATGTAACATTTTTGTGGCCTGAGGATTTTTCAACGGAGTACTTGGGTAGGAGGCCAAATTTCCCATTGACATGCCCTTCTGGGGTGTGGATGTCCTCATGGGTGTACGTGTGGTCTCATAGCCCAAGGGTAGGAAATTTTGACTTTGATTTAAATCGGGATTACTGAGGCAGGTTTCTTCTTCATTGTTATTCTCATATTCATCATCATCATCTTCGGCTGGAATAACTGCATAACGATGGGCCTTGCCATTATGCATTTGTATGATCTCCTGATTATCATCCACGAGCTCTTCATCCTCCGCTGTGGGTACCATTTGATAACGTTGATTGGAATTTTTATCCACAATTAGGAATGTCTTGCTGCCGAAATCACTTGAGAAGGCATGTTTGATTTTTGGTGCCTGCAGATTTTGTTGAGAACTTTGACGATTTTGTAAGGAAATACGACGCTTGGGATGTAATTTTCCCGTCTCCAGGACAGGAGGCAAACTGGCATAGGGCCCAGCACCACCTCCTGTGGGATCTTCATGAAAGGAATGGGGCTCATCCTGATCCAATTGGATCTGCGAGCTATAACGATCCAAATCATCCTGCGATTTGGCATAACGTCGCGTGGTAACCAATGGTGATGGCTGATTGCCATTCGTCATGTGGTTGCCGGTGTTGTTGTTGCTGTGCATGGTGGTGGCTGGTGGCCCTGGAACTATGGCATAACGATTATTCATGTCTGCGGATAATTCTTCGACGGGCACTAAAGCATAACGCCCTGAACCTGAACGCATTTCGAAGGGTTCAGCTGTACGATTTAAGTTAGCCGGACGTAAAGTTTTTTGTTGCAGCTGCTGGTGTTGTTGTGGTGGTGGTGGCGGTGTTTGTTGATATTGTTGTTGTTGCTGGTGGTGCTGCTGTCTTTCATAATGTTGTTGCTGCTGCCGATGCAATTGCTGGTGTATAGTTGGTGTCGTTACTTCGCTTGTTTTCGTTTTCTTTATAGCCACCGATCTTGTTGACATGCTTCGCTGCATACGCAAGGGTCCCGCACTATCGCGTGCATCATACCGTGTCGCATTAGCATTAAAATTTATCTGTAAGCTACGATTGTAAATTGACTCTACATTTTCCTTATTGGCCGTGCGTTCCGCTGTGGCCGATGGTACCGGATAGAATTCACTATTCTGACAGAAAGCCGGATTGGTATAGTTGTGCTTGGTCGACATGGTGGATGAGTTTTATTTTCGTCGTTTTTTAGCAGGAATGGGGCATGAAGGTGGTGGATAGTTTAACGCGTTTTCTTAGTGCAGTTTGATTTTTTTAATTATTAAATGTAGGGTCCTCTAGATCTCCTTCCAGAAGTTGTATTATATTAATTCCACATTGAGACTCCGAGCCGAATATTTTTCTTATTTCAAATGCAGGTTTTGATTTTTTTTATTTTTTTGTCAAAATTGGATGAAAATATTTTTTGAAGATCTCTCTGCACTTTCAGAAACTTTTTTCCGCCGAAATTCCGTTCAAAAACTCTGAAGGCTTAGGAAGTTTGTATTTGTAGATTTTCAATCATTAAGGAACGATTTATGAATTATTTTCTTCTTAATTTGTTTAATTGTTTTTTGGATGTATTATTATTTATAAACATTGTTTTTAATTCCTAAATAATTAATTTTTTCTTTATTTTCTATTTCAGGTTCACGATCATGTTTTTACACTTTTTTCACTCGATCATCGATCGTAAGTATTATCGATTTTAATATTTTTTTTAAATAATTTTCAAATCCAATTTTTAATTTTCAAATAACAATTAAAATTTGTTAACAATTATCCTTTTTTCTTTAAAATTGTTCCTCTCTTCAATTTAAACAATTTCTCTCTTAATAACGAAAGAATGAAAGAAAGGACAACTTTCCACTCCGAACGATTCTTGAAGACTGACTTAAACTACTGCAGTTTCGAGGCTCAGTTGCTTTGCAGCCAAAGCAGCGAAGCATAACAGACTGACACGGGGGTAACTAAAACAGCAAGAACAGCTATGACATACCACCAAAAAGGTAATGAACAACAAAAAATACGTTAAATTTTTTTCATTGATGTATATCAACATCATGGCACATAATAATTCCAAGTGCACATAGCTCAGAGCAGCTTGGTTGAAACGCTCCCCTAAACAGAACAAAATTTCCTAAGACAGATATCCCAATTTATGGTTGTGTGTACGCCAGCCGACCAACTAACCAACACACATGCGCAATTGGCTACACATACACACAACCAACACTAAGTACACGTGTACAATAAGGTTGGCGCGTTCCGTTTTTAAGGAAACATCTGCTCCTGCTGCACGATAATAAACGTATTAAAGGAAGCAAACCAAACAGTTGCAAAAGGGGATAGCTCAACCAACTCAATTTTGGTATGTTGAGCTGAGGAAATGTGGTGTGGAGGCACAGTGGTGACAAATAATTATTTATTATGAAAAAAATTTAAATGGGTCTGGAACGTTGACTTTTTAAAAAAAGTTTTTAAAGGCCTTCAAGAAAATATTTCTTTAAGGACGTGTATTTTTTTGAAAAAAAAATCTACATAAATTGTGAATTAAAAAAAATCAGGGACCTACCTTAAATTTGGAATTGTTAAAAAGTATTTTCAAGGATCCACAACAAGTGCTGATTTAAAACATGTTTGTTAACGATCTGCATTAATCGTGAATTTTTTAGGTTGTCCCATAAGTTTCTTCCCTTTTTTTGAGGTTGATTTATTGTGTTATATATGAACCGTTCTGTTCTATAACATTCTTCCATCTCTCAGGAAGCCCCATTAAGATCTCTTTCCAAAATTATTGAGTCTTACTTGGAAAATATTTATCTGTGTGCGTTTTTATTTCGCTTATGGATTTGAAAGATTCACCTATGGTCGTGAGACACAAATTATTGCAGTTGGATTGGAACGTTCTGCCTCATCCTCCGTGCTCCCGTAAAAGGATTATTCGATTTTAGCGGAACTTTGTACAACCAATTATCTTTAACAAGCTTAGATGAAGTAGGAAGATGGGACCCATTGGTCCACTCCTTCCTGTAACTTCACCACAGAGGATCAAAATTGTCAATATTTATAAATCCAATATCAAGCTACTGGAATGTCCGATTTGAACCCAACTTTGCACAATCCGTTATCTTTAAGAAGCTTAGATCGAGTCCGAAGTTGGGACCCGTCTGCCCTCTCCTCTGGTACCTGTAAATTTTATTTAAAATTTTTATTTAATTTTATTTATCAACATTATGTGTAACTCCGAAGACTTCCGCAAACCATAGGGTGAGGGTATATATCTGCCGACAACGCCGACTGACACTTTTTTACTTGTTTAAGTATAAATTTAATCGTCAAGGGACCATATAAGACCTACATTTTTTAAAAATATTTTTCAAAGGGCCAAAAAGCGTAGATTAAAAAAAAATATGCTCCACATATGGCATTGATTTTTAAAAATATTTTTTTTCAAGCATCCACATAAGGCGTAGATTTTTTTAAAAATATTTATTCAAGGACATGCGTCTGGCCGTAGAATTTTTTAAACGTATTTGTTCAAGGACATGCGTCTAGGCGTGGATTTTTTAAACATATTTATTCAAGGACATGCGTCTAGGCGTGGATTTTTTAAACATATTTGTTCAAGGACATGCGTCTAGGCGTGGATTTTTTAAACATATTTGTTCAAGGACATGCGTCTAGGCGTGGATTTTTTAGACATATTTGTTCAAGGACTCTTAGAGCCTTAGGCGTGAATTTTCAAATAATTATTTTTCAAGAACTCTTAGAGCCTTAGGCGTGAATTTTCAAATAATTATTTTTCAAGGACTCTTAGAGCCGTAGGCGTGAATTTTAAAATAATTATTTGTCATAGGCGTGTATTTTTAAATATATGTTTTCAAGGACTCTTAGAGCCGTAGGCGTGAATTTTAAAATAATTATTTGTCATAGGCGTGTATTTTTTAAATATATGTTTTCAAGGACTCTCAGTGCTATAGGCTTGTATTTTTTAAATATATTTTTTCAAGGACTCTCAGGGACATAGGCGTGAACATTTTAAATATATGTTTTAAAGGACTCTCAGGACCAAAGGCGTTGCTTTTTCAAGAATATTTTTTAAGAATAATTTTTTAGGACTCTCCAAACTATAGGCGTGGATTTTTTTAAAGAATATTTTTCAAGGACTCTCCGAACTATAGGCGTTCATTTTTTAAAGAATATTTTTCAAGGACTCTCAGGGCCATAGCCGTGGATTTTTTTTAAATATATTTTTTCAAGGACTCTCAGAACCATTGGCGTGGATTTTTTTATATATATTTTTCAAGGACTCTCAGGACCATTGGCGTGGATTTTTTAAATATATTTTTTGCAAGGACTCTCAGGCCTACTGGGGTGCTTTTTTTAAATATATATATATATATATATATATCACGAATTCCACAAAAAGGTCAACCACACAGGTGAAAAATCAATTCGTTAAGAGAGATATGAAATTATATAGGAAATATTCTTTGCAATCCGGACAATATATTTTTAGTTGAATTTTGAAAAATAACCGTAGTTTTTCTTTTCGTTGTACCATTTTCGCGTGGAGAGTAACTTGGGCATATTTTTATTAGTTTTAGAGTGTCAGTTGTCGTAAGTGTGAACGCTGTTAGCTAAAACAATATCAATAATAAATATTAAATTCAAATAAAGTATTATCTTACTAAGAATTACATATATATAAACCTATACATATACCAAGAGAATCCCGTGGTAAGTGCAGTTAAATAGTGTAAGAAAATATGTAACGCGTGCGTGACAAAATTAGCATATGTTTCTATACAGACTCTAATATGAGAATTTTTTTTTGATAATGCTGTTATGTGTGGATCTTGAGATGACAAATTCAAATAAAACAAAGTTTGTCTTCTATCTCCATCGAACAAATTTGTATCCGTCACGCACATGTTACATTCTTCCTCAACAAGTTGCTTTAGAACCGAATTTACAGGCAAAAATGTCGTCCATAACTGCATAATGATTTACCAAAGTTCTTGGGGCCACACAAAGCTATAATATCCTGACAACATGGTTGTGTGGGGTATAAGAACTAGCATTTTTAAAACATTCTGTTTTGAATTTAATTTTTTTAGTACATGTGTGTGTAACAGTGCGTTACGAGTGTAACATGTGCGTGACGGTGTTCAAAGTTAAAAAAGTATATCTTAGAAATTTTTTTCTCAAAAAAATTGAATGTCAATATAATCTTGAATAACCCATTATAGCTGTAAAAAAAATCCGCAATTTTATCTCCAGCCAATTCGCAGAAATTTCATATCGAAACTGATATCCAATTTTTAAAGGGAAAATTTTGTAGCGCGTGCGTACGCTAATTTTTTCTTAATATCTCCGACATTTACAAACATATTCATAAACAAATTAGCAGGTATTGTAAAAGGCGTAAAACTATTTAATAAAAATTGCGAAAGAAATTTCGGAAACAAATTTTTCTTAACTAAACAAACGATTATATTTCGCACGCTGTAACAGTGCGTGACATGGAATTCGTGATATATTTAAATATTTTTTTCTCTAGGTCTCATGAGGCTTGGATTTTTTGACTCTCAGGTCATAAGCGTGGATTTTTAAATACATTTTTTCAAGGACTCTCAGGTCTACATACGTAGATTTATAAATATATTTTTTCAAGGACTCTCAGGTCTACATACGTGGATTTATAAATATATTTTTTCAAGGACTCTCAGACCATAAGCGTGGATTAAATATACATATTTATAAATTTATTTAATCCAAATATATTTATAAATTTATTTAATCCAAATATATTTTTAAATATATTTTTTCAAGGACTCTCAGGTCTATATACGTGGATTTATAAATATATTTTCTCAATGACTCTCTGGTCTATATAGGTAGATTTTTTAATATTTCTATTTTTTATTTTACCCACAATTTTTCCCCCCATCCCAATGTGCATATTCATATGTAAACTTATTGACTCGTGTTATATGCGCCAAAGTGATCGAACGAACAAATAACACAAAAAGTGAGTACACTCTAGCTGTGACAAACAGCCACAACACTACGCACAGCAAACACAAGAGAGACACACACACACATGGTAAATGGTAGCAGCACCATTATCAGCCAAATGAGGGATGAATTCGGAATTATGCGTGGCTGTTCAACA